ATGATGGAAATACCATGCATGTGCCTTCCAGGCAGAAGTGCTGCAGGTCTCGGCGCAGGTCCTCTCGCGGGGAAGATGAGGCCGTAGCCCCGCCGTTTATGGAAGATGATTTCACTAACAAACCGCCCCTCATTGTCAGGGCAACAGTGAGATGAGGCTTCGGCAAGATAGATACAGTTTTTACATTATAAATTGGCTTTAAGTCAAATATATAATTTGAGTATAAAGGACCTGTCTTAGTTCAGCGTATTAAGCAGGAATAAATGAAAATCTGTTTGAAATGCATGTATTGTATTTCTCTTGAGGGACTTCACGGCCAGGTAAAACTTTCCAAGTCTGGCCCGGAATGCAAGCATCACATTTTACTTCTATTTAAAGAAATAGAAGTAACACTTATATATATATATTTTTTAAATGTGAAGATAGGCAGCTTGGTGTGGTGACGGAGGAATAGGCCTCCTATGAAGGACATGGACCTGCATCTGCCAGTGCCACCAAGGTCACTGAGACTGGTCATTTAACTGCTCCAAACAGGGAGAGATTAGTAATCGCTACCTAGCAGTGTTTTCCCAGGATCAGGTAACAGTGTACAGTGTGTGCAAGCAACAGGAAGTATTTGGATACCTCTCTAGCATCTCAATTCACATTCATTCATTGTTTCAGAAATTTTCAAACATCCATGTCTTGGGTTTTTAGCCATTACATAAAATCTCCCTCAACAATATAACATTGGGCCAAGACTGGTTTGGCTCAATGGATAGAGCGTCGGCTTGGGGACTGAAAGGTCCCGGGTTCGATTCCGGACAAGGGCATGTACCTTGGTTGCGGACACAACCCCAGTAGGGTGTGTAAAAGAGGCAGCTGATCAATGATTCTCTCTCATTAATGTTTCTAGCTCTCTCTCTCTCTCTCTTCCTCTCTGTACAAAATTTAAAAATAATAATAAAAAAATAAAATAAAAAGCCGAAACTGGTTTGGCTCAGTGGTAGAGCATCGGTCTGCAGACTGAAAGGTCCCAGGTTCGATTCCGGTCAAGGGCATGTACATTGGTTGCGGGCACATCCCCAGTAGGGGGTGTGCAAGAGGCAACTGATCGATATTTCTCTCTCATCGACGTTTCTAGCTTTCTATCTCTCTCCCTTTCTCTCTGTAAAAAATCAATAAAATATATTTTAAAAAAAAACAAAATAATATAACATTGATCGATAACCTTTCTATATTATGAAAAGGCCTTTAATTTTAGACTTCACTATTAAAAATCCAATTTTAATTGTCCCAAAGTGAGTAAGTGAATGTATTTATGGAGGCCCACTGTGTGTGTGTGTGTGTGTGTGTGTGTGTGTAAGTGTGTATACACTGGGTGAGGCAAAGTAGGTTTACAGTTGTGAGTACACAAAAGAATTTATTCTTATAATATATTATAATAAGAGAGGAAGAGAAATACAAAGAGTCCCTCCCTTTCTATATTGGAGTGTTAAGCTTTGCCAATGTAAACAGTTATATTTTCTAAGAAAAGAAAAGAAAAAAAAACATGACACAAAATGTTAAAAGACTCTATCTTCTATAATTCTCACTCCTTAGACATGACCCTACCTTTCAACCTTAAAACTGAGCTATGGAAGTGGACTTGCTGGTGGTGGTGAGGCGGACAAGTGGGGCTCACTCATCAGTGATAGTTCTCACTGTAGGCAGCCCGGCCTCAGCAGCCGCCACTGCACTTTCAGAGAGACTGAGCATTTTCTGGTGTGATTGTCACAGATTGACTTTTATGTTTTCAACCTGAATTGAGTGGAAGGAAATGTCATGTTCTCAAGGCCTTTAGTTCTGTGGTTTAACTTATTAAAAAGAGGAAGCCTTCTGATAGAAATTCATCTCTGTTGAGAGCTTACGAGGCACAGGGTATTTTGATGCAGTAACACATATTAACCTATTTAATCCCTCAAAACAGCCCTTGAAGTAAATACTATTATTACTCCACTTTACAAATTAGAGAAAACCAAGCATAGAGAGGTTAAGTAGCTTGCCTATACCACACAGCCATTAAGTGGCAGAGACAGGCCTGAAACTAAAGAAGGGTGGCCGCAGAGAATGAGATCTAAGCCCTTCACACTCTGCTGTGATGCTTAAACACAGTAAAAAGGAAGTGTTCCAGCCTTTGAGGAGAAGGTATGCCTTTCCTGTCAGTGGGGCCCAGGTGTCATCAAAGGATGCCATATTGTTCAGTTCTTGTTATCCAAGGTCTCTTATAGGCATGACAGTCGAAGATAGACATCCAGAAACAAATACTATGACTGTCATCAAGGGACCTGTAGCCACATCTGGAATTCAGATAGTCATGTAACTGATCACAATGTAGACTCATAGAGAGAGAAATACAGTTCAAGGTGCCACATAAACTCAGGTGAAAAAATAATAAAATTAAGCAGACATATATAGTTTATTGTACATTACATTAAACACAGCACTGTATTAAAGAGCTCTGAGGAGCAACAACAGCAAGAGAACTGTGTTCTTTAAATAAATCTTTATTGTTGAAAGTATTACATATGTCCTTTTTTTCCCCATTACCTTCTCCCCCATTAACACCCCCAATCCTTCACCACCCTATCTATTGTCTGTTACTATGGGTTATGCATATATGCATATGAGTTCACTGGTTGATCTCTTCCCCCGCTGTTCCATATCTTTTAAGAAGAGCCCAATCTAGTTAAGAAAAAGAGAAAGCATATGTGAAAAGAATTATTGCAACAAATCAAGTACAAATTCATACTGTCCAAAATATATACCATAGGGCAAGTCATAATGAAATCATCAATCATTATTATCTCTCTTATTTTACAAAAGAAGCCAAACTAAAACCCTGCTACCAAGAACTTACGTAGTTAGTAAAAAATAAATTTAAAATAATCTATCCTTTTTAAATGATAGTATTGTTTGTGTATTAAAAAAACTTTGGGCAGTACAAATAATTTTTAAAAAATTAATACTGTTATTAATACTGTTATAGAAAAACAACTATTAATATTTTAATGTACTGTTTCTAAGGTTTCTTTTTTAAAAAATGTCTTTATTGTTCAGATTATTACAGTTGTTTCTCCTTCCCCTCCCCCAGAGCTCCCCTCCACCTGGTCCCCACTCCACCCTCTGCCCTTACCCCCCTCCCCACCCCACCTCTGGTATTCTCATCCATAGGTATGTGATTTTTGTCAGTCTCTTCCCATACCCCCCACACAGACACCCCTTTCCCCCTGAGAATTATCAATCCCCTCCCATTCTATGCCCCTGATTCTATTAGATTCACCTGCTTCTAAGGTTTCTTATGTGTATTTTGTTTCCTAATATTATAATATTATGTGTTCTTTATGTAAATAAATATAAAAATTTATATAGAATATTAATATAAATACTTTCTTATTATTTGTGTGCTTCATGGGTATATTTTGCATAAAATTATTTACAAATGTATTTTAATTATATTCTGTTAGACTTATTATAATTTTTCATTTATATATAATGCTATAATAAAGATTTATACATAAAGCTTTTCCTATTTTTAAAGTGATACCTTTAGTATGACTTCCCAGAAGTAGAATTACTGACTCAAACAAAGAATGTGAAAATTTTTAAATTTCTTGATATTTCTATCAAATTCCTTTCTGAAAAGATTCCCAGTGTATTGAGCAAATACATCTTTTTAACAATCCTTTCAAAACTCCAGTATTAGAGATGTTACATCTTTCCATATGCTGTATTTCCTCTTTAAAATGTTCTTTCCCCAAAACTTCCTGGGATATTGAGATTAAAAAAACAGTCTTTTTAATCAAGTGTTCTTTTTCTTTCATTTTGTAGCCAAAGAAACTCTACCTGATTTGGTTTCCATAATTCCTGACACAGTTCCAAGTACTGAGCTTCTCATTGAAACCACTGCCTCTGCCTGTTACACATTGAACAACTTAATCCAGAATAGTTATCAGAATGCCCGGGACCTTCTCAACACCGGGGGCCTGCAGAAAATCATGGCTATCAGCGCCGGCGATACGTAAGTACTTTAGCATCTGCCCAGCGGCTGTCTCCCCTTTCCTACCACCGCTCTCGTGTGTAAATCTAGTTGTAAACATTATCCCTGTGGACCACAGGCAACAGTCAGAAGGGGTCAAACTCCAGAGCTTCCAGCATTTCACTGACCTGATGAATTCACTTGTTTCCCAAAACTACAGCTGTGATTTAAGAACAGCAGTATGTAGGCAGAGTGGGAGGACTATGGACAGGGAATGCCCTTCACTGAAATCTGTGGAGCTGTGTTGGCCCAGGTGGCTAAGAAGAAGTAGTGATAACACAAGTGGGAGGCAGCATAATATGTTCTTTCTCTCTCAGTTTCCTCTGTCACATCTCTTCCCACTTCTTGTTTCCTTTTGAGAAGTGAAGGTCTAATGCATATACATCATCCCACATCCCCGTTTCTGTCTTTGAATTTCCCCATTTAAAAGGGAAGGCAGAGCCCTGGCCATGTGGCTCAGCTGGTTGGAACATACACCAAAAGGTTGCGAGTTTGATTCTCAGCCAGGGCACATAACTGGGTTGTGGATTAATCCCCTGTTGGGCCAAGTATAGGAGGCAGCCAGTCGATGTTTCTCTCTCCCTTTCTCTCTCTCTAAAAAATTCAATAAGAAAATATCCTCAAATGAGGATTTAAAATAATTTTTTATATAAAAGCCTAAGTGACCATTACGACTGGACCACCGGACAACCAGTCTACTGCTGGTCACTATGACAATGCACTGGCCACCAGAGAGCAGACACTCACTGCAGGAACTGCCCCCTGGCCTGGTGTCAATGCATTCCCACAGGGCTCACAGCTGGCGAGTGCAGCGGCTATCAGTCAGGCATCCCCTGAGGGCTCCCAGACTGTGAGAGGGCACAGGCTGGGCTGAGGGACCCCCCCAAGTGCACAAATTTCATGCACCAGGCCTCTAGTAATAAAATAAAAAGGAACAAAGAGAATGAAAAACCTTGTATAATCAAATTATTACTATTATTTCATTTAGAGTGATAGGATTTAAAGAGGGCATGAAGATTATGATCTTTTTCTCTTTATACAATTCTGAATTGTTTGATTTGTTAAAGACAACTTACTTTTATAACTATCTAAAAAAAGAGAGAAGTGTTATAGCCCAGTACTAATGAGTTGCAAAGCACATGGACTTTATCTGTAATGGCCACACAGGGTGAGCAGAGGGGTCTGTGTGTCCCTGGATGATCACCTGTGCCCTCTACCACAGCCCCACCCAGTGTAAACCCCTTGTGCTCTGAGCCCCCCTCTGGCAAAGCTCATGGGAGGGAAGGCCCCATTCAGAGTCACACAATTAAAAGGAGCAGGAAATATTCACCTATTTCCAGAGCCTGGCAAATAGCAGTTGGTCTGTCTTTGTGGGGGAAAAGAATTATTGCTGCAAAACAGAAACAACTATTTGCAGTAGTCATCCAAACTTCTAAGCAAATTTTCAAAAGACTATATGGTTTTACTTATTTGAGTACTCAGACGTAACAGACACACTGGAGTGCACACTATTGTTGCTGGTGAAAGTGGGCTCTTTTGTAGTGTCTCAAGAAAGAAATTTCAAAGGGCTCATGCGTGGAGAAGTTTGAGTGTCGTGGTAAGATTCGTATTGGGGGGAAGGGAAATAATACACCCTCAGGGATACAGAGAGCGGGCAGGCTCTAGCAGCAACTTCCCTGAAACTTCCGATAACCCTCCATGTATTTTCTTGGTTCTCCATAACTAGCAAGGTGTCCCTCAAACCATCCAACCCACTTCCCTCTCATTTCTCCTGGGCTGTCATTGAGCCCTACCCTTAACCAGTCCCTTTCCGCCGAAGCCGGTTTGGCTCAGTGGTTTAGTGTCAGTCGGCGGACTGAAAGGTCCAAGGTTTGATTCCGGTCAGGGGCATGTACATTGGTTGTGGGCACATCCCCAGGGGGGGGGTGTGCAAGAGGCAGCTGGTTGATGTTTCTCTCTCTTTGATGTTTCTAGCTCTGTATCTCTCTCCCTTCCTCTCTATAAAAAATCAATAAAATATATTTTTTTTAAAAAAAAAACAGTCCCTTTCCTGGACCTACCAGGGTTTCATGCCCCCTGTCCAATCTGTCTCTTCCCAGAGTTTTCCAGGCTAGGCTCTGCCTCTTTAAGTCACCTTCTGGCTTTTATTTCGCATGCTTCAAACTAGAAGCTCCACCCCTGTGCCATGTTGATTTCTAAGAATTCTGTTGCATCATCTGGTTTCTACTGTGCATGTGCTGAGCAGAGGAATTTTCTCTCCTCTTCCATCCCATAATCTGGTCTCATCAGGCAGCACCCCCCCAGGAAGGTTTTCCTGGTTGCTTGGAGAGTTAAGTCTCCTCCATAGTCCCCTGGAGTGTGTACATGAGTCTAATGCTAAAGCCTCCTGGTAAATCCAGCTTAATGGGATGCTGTAACTTCCCAGTGAAGCAGACCCAATGTGCGATTAGCTTCCCAGTTTATTAAGCTTAATATTTGATTCAGCTCCCTAGTTTATTAAACGTAATGTCTGCATCCCTTTGGTCTCCCTCTCTTTATTAATAACTATCTAACTACCCCTGTTTAGCACCTTCACTTTTGGGAACTTCTTGTAGCTTAGCAACATATGGATGAGCTAATCTGTTATTTCTTTGTCGCCCCAAGTGTCCATTTGTGAGCCAGTCCTCACATGCCCTGCCTAAAAAAAGAAAAGAGAAAAAGTCAACAAAGAATGTCTTTCGTGCTAAAGTGTTGTACACCTGGCCTGTAATTTATGGCATCAACTTAAATGAAAACATTAACTGAGGCAAGCTCAGATTCCCAGAATTTGAGTTCATTCAGGAATAGCAGAGAAATGACAGTGCTGGTAACCCTTCCTGCAGCAAGCTACCGGGGAGTCAGTCTTCTCTAACCAGACACTTACTGGCAGTCAGTCTCTCAGTTCATAAGTTCTCTTCTTCTGAGGGGGCATGCATGACATTCTCTATTTCGTATCCTCTGGTTTCATTCCAGGTTGAAATCCTTTCACGTGGGCTAGCCTGGGGACCAGTTATCATTATATCATTTTATCTTTGAATAAGTGAATTCCCAGGTGTCAACAGCCAACTTATAAACAAATTTTATACATATAACACCCTTGTGAAGGGGAGGAAAAATACTTTTTTCTCTGTCCTTCTAGTGTTATCGGAGGAACTGAGATATTGAGGATATGATATCTCAAGAAAAAGAACTTTTATAATCTCACACAGGAGGATGAGTGATTTTTATTTGCGTTGAATTACATCCCTAGGTTTCCGAAGTCCCATTTCCCTGTTCTTGAAGGAGTGCAGCTGGGGCTTCGGTAGAGCTGAAAGCAGAGTCAGCGTCCACAGTTCCCATCCCACATTGCAGCGAGGTCCAGGTCAGCAGCAGCTAGTTACACAGCCCCATTAGTCCACTGTGTGTTGGGGTGGTCATGTGGGTGAATGCAGGAAGCAGGAGTATGAGAGCCCCGAAACCAGGAGTCACCCAAGAGCACAGCACGCTAGAAGCATATGAGGAACCAAGAAAACAACAAGAGAGCTAACGCTTTGTTTAGGGGATTAAATTTTCCTGTGCTCGCAGTGGCCACGCCCATTCTGGCCAAAGACCCTTTCCCAGGTGTGACTGACAAACAAGTACCTTTCCAGTGTCACCCAAACTTCACGGGTTCAGAAGGCACTGTAGGGAATAGCCTGGCGGCTCCCCGGGGAGTGTAAAGCCTTCACTTCCTGGTGAAACTGCCTAAATGATGCGTCTATAACATTTGGCCTTCCCTTTGCTCCTTTCCTGTTGTTAATAACTAGGTTAATTACAACGGTATCACTAGGTTCTTGGCTGAGACACCCTGCAATAAAAAACACAGATTAACAGGAGAAAAATAAAGGAAGTTTGATAACATGTAGACCTGTATCCTTGGGAGAGACCCAGGAAAACTGAGTAACTCCTAGAAATGGCCCACGCCACCAACAAAAGATGCTGGGGAAGAGAGAGGCCAGTTTGGGGGGTTCCCAGGAAAAGCACAGTAAACAAGGGTTGTTAGGCAGGTTGAAGTCATTGCCTTCTCCATTGGTCAAACTTTCTAAAGATTTTGTCACCCTCACTTTCTGGTACAGATACTCCTGACAAATGGAGATTTTCTTTATAAATGTCTCTTTCAAGGGTAACTTCCAGTCAGTTTTCAGAACTTTCTCTAGGTCTGCTGTTTCTTAAAAATAATCAGCCTAAAATAATCCCGTGCCAGAGAGGCATATTTTGGGGTGGTAAATTCAGTCACCCTTCACTTGCTGTTGAACTCTTTCCGGGTTTAAATATTGGAGACCCATAGCTTTCGTGGATTATTTAGTGTCTCGGTTATAAACAAGCCAGTCTGAGAAACACACGCGGTAACTGACTTCTGTAGGGTGCCGATCTGCCTTACCTTCTGCCAGGTCGGTGAGGAAGAGAAAGGCTTTTCGCTGAGGAAGGAGCCCAGCATGCGCTTCTCCATACAGCTTTGCATTCTCTATTTTCGGTTGCATGTTTGCAAACCCCTATGATAGGGAAGATAAAAGATATGTTTCTTTGTTAAAAGAAAGTTCAGGTGATAGAAGAGAAAAAGATCAAAGAAAGCATTTTCTCCTGAGCCAGAAACAGGAAATTTAGGACAAATTTAAAAGCTAAACATCAAAAACTAAATATAATGTCAAATGCAGAAGTGACTTGGATTTAAAACAGGAACACATTTGACATTTGCTCTACCCAAGAACAAAGACATTTTGAACCTATTTTAACAAATGCTCCAACAAGAATTTATTTGATTAACTTGAAAAAATTATTCCTACCTAGAGAGTCACTCAGTCTAAGAGAAGAATATGCATTTTTCAGTCACACTTGCCTGTATTTGCATTTCCGGACGAATTCCCCGTCAAGGGGACAATTTGCATACTATACTTTTATTATATAGGATATAAGTATAAGATAAAAAAATACATGCACACACATTATAAACATACAAATATATTTATTCAATAAATGACAATATAAATATACAAATATAAATTGTATTCTATAAATAATTTTAAGGATTTGTAACATATTGCTTATAAATAGCAAAAGTTTGCTCTATAAACTATTTATTAATATGTTAGCACTGTTAGTGGTTTTAAAAGATTTTTTCGCCTGGCTGGTGTGGCACAGTGATTGAGTGTCAATCTATGAATCAGAAGGTCACAGTTTGATTCCCAGTCTGGGCACATGCCCAGGTTGCGGGTTCAATCCCCAGCAGGAGGCAGCTAATCAATGATGTTGCTCTCTCTCATCAATGTTTCCTCTCTCTCCCTTCCTCTCCCTGAAAACCAATAAAATAAAATAAAATTCTTTTCTCAAAATAATTTCTAGCCTGGCCAGCATGTTTCAGTGGTTAAGCATCAACCCTTGAACCAGAAGGTCATGGTTGATTCCTAGTTAGGGTACATGTCCCAGTTATGGTCAAAATCTCTGCTGAGGGACATGCAGGATGCAGGCTATCAATGATTCTCTCTTATCATTGATGTTTCTCTCTCTCCTCTTTCTTCCCCTCTAAAATCAATAAAAATTTTAAAAATAATACTTTCGCCGAAACCGGTTTGGCTCAGTGGATAGAGTGTTGGCCTGTGGATTGTAAGGTCCCAGGTTCAATTCCGGTCGAGGGCATGTACCTTGGTTTCAGGTGCATCCCCAATACTGGGTGTGCAGGAGGCAGCTGATTGATGTTTCTCTCTCATCGATGTTTCTGACTCTCTATCTCTCTCCCTTCCTCTCCGTAAAAAGTCAATAAAATATATTTTAAAATATATCATTATAAAAGAGGTTCCTGGCCTGAAGCTTACCATTTGATTTTCTTGTCGTTGTGAATAACCTGACTTAATGGATGGCTACTGAGCAATGGCAGTTAAAGGAGATTGACAGACCATCCAACCTCCGAGCCTCGGACTCATTCTCACTGATCTCGGAATGTCCTTTTCTTCTTTCAGCTCTGCCTCCAACAAAGCAAGCAAAGCCGCTTCTGTTCTCTTATATGCCCTGTGGTCACACACGGAGCTCCACAATGCCTACAAGAAGGTAAGAGCTCTCAAAAGGCAAGTGTCCTAGTTAGCTGAGCCAGGTCCTAATAGCCCACTTGTCTGGGAAATCACTAAGAACTGCAGTTTTCTGTGTGAAAATGTTGTTACCATTCATATTTTTGTTTGCTTATTCCAAAGGCTCAGTTTAAGAAGACAGATTTTGTCAACAGCCGGACTGCCAAAGCCTACCACTCCCTTAAAGACTGAGGAAAGTGAGAGTGCTCTTGGAAATCTCAGCCTCACCATTCTCGGCCACAAGAAAACCCAAAGGAAAACACCTATTTTTCTACTTCCCAGTCCAAGAAACCTCAGAAATAAAGCATGCCTTGTTTTTATCCTTTTCTATTTTTATGGTCCCCCGAGTCCAGAAGACAAATAATCGGAATGTGACTTTATTAGTCTTCCAGAAGATTTTCACAAGTTTGCTACCAGAAGACACTGGCTTCAGGCTCTACTGGGCTTTGGGATCAGGGCTCACGGTTCATGGCCTCCTGGAACCAAAATGTGAATTCGTGTGGAATGGACGTTGACAGAATAAATAAGGAAAGAAGCTGTTGTAGTATTACTAAGATTTTAAAAGTTTTATCTACATTTTTATGTTCTGGTTTCCATGTTTTGTCACTTATATGCACATTGCTTCACCAGAGGGCCATGAGTATATGGTCTCTGCAGTGTTGAAATAAATGGAAAGGACAAATATTTGCTAAGTTATCCAGGAAAAAATTTAATGGCAAAACTGTGTTTTTATTTGTTTTTTATTATTTTGTGCTTGTACTTATCCTCTTGAATTTTTTCTCTGACTTTAAATGAACTTAAGAAGTTTAAATCATAAAGCATGCATGTCTATAAGAAAAAGAATTGAAAGGTAGTGATCAAGCGGATTTAAAATCTTTTCTACAGAAAAAGGAACTTTGGCTATGAAATTTAATATTTCCTCTAACCATTGAGTAAACGAGATTTTTGCTTAAGGAAATATGTTACCTATAACAACAGCATTAAATGCAAGTCTCTTCTAAACAGTAACACTCAATGTAATCTATTTCCTGGACTTTCTCAGCCTCTGCAGTGGCTGGTGGAAGAATGGACTCTATATTTAGCTACAAAAGGAATCAAGGTCTCTAAAACTGCAGGGCATTTTAATGAGTTACTTTATCAACCAGCCCAACTTTGCCCAACATTTAGAAAAGAGCACAAAGCCACTAAGTCTCATAATCTTCCTCAAGCCATTATTTTAACTCTAGAGAAGAAAAATTAAGACGTTATGTTGAGGATAAATGAGTCTAGGCCACCCAGAAGTGATATGAGAAGTACTAATATGTAAAAGTTGACAACATCGGCTATTAGGGCGAATCTGTATTAAGTGTTATTTTAACTGGACTATGGTTTATGCCATTCATAAAGAAGTAGTCTTCTCAACAACAGTTCTGTTTTATTATGCTTTTTAAAAGAAATCTGATAATGTTTGTTATAAGAAAGTAAGAAGGAAAAAATTCATCTCCTTTTGTCCAGAAAAGTGTAATAGAAAATAAATTGCCATTTTCTATTTAAATGTGTACGTCTTTATTATATTTAGAATTTGAAATTTTTTCCATTTTAGTAGCTCAATGGAGAAGATTGAAGTTACTAACCTAGTTTAATCTGAATTATTTGATACCCATTTTTAAAATATGGAAGGTAGAAATTATCTTTTTCCAGAGTTTTGACAATAAGCATTTGGAGAATCTTTGATTTCTGTTCAAGAAGTTTCTGTATTTTTTAAAGCACTAGGGGAGCCTTTAGTAAAGTTCAGCACAAAGTTAGGCAAAAATAACGTTGCCTGCATTAGTATCTGGGCATTTAATTTATATATCTTAGTATATGTGATATGATTGATGTGACATTTGAGGATTTGACCTTATAAACTTTAATCTAATTACTAAGAGTTTAATACTTTGTAATTCTTCCCTAACTAAAGTCCTAAATCCTTTACCAACTAACTCTTTGTGCAAGAAAGACAGGACCAGCTAGTGACTAAAACATGTTCAAATGGAGACACATACAAGTGTGTTAGCTATTGTTAAATTTTAGTAAATGGAGTGAGTCTGTGACCACGAAAGATAGACTATGTTTGATCCCTGTGTTTTGCTTTGTCACTCTGCTTACAAAAACTTCATACTTTGTATCGGTGAACATCTCTGAGGGAGGTCAATGTTTGATTATCAGTTTTGATCACTGGTCCACACACAAAGCTCTTTTATTTCCCATGTACCCAGACTGTGCCCATGTCATCAAAGGAACTGACCAGCTGAGCGGGCCTTTGCATATATTCATGCTAAGAGTTCCAAAGGGCTGTGCCTGGTCAGGAATTCTGCGTGGTCTTCGGGAATATGGGATATTGCTGCCATTTCTATAACTGGAAACATTTGTTTATACCGATGGTAATAACTAAAGGATTATCTGACAAAATAGAGAGGAGATTAACATGTCAGATGGGAAAATAAACAGCATGTATAGATAAACCACTTTGAAACCAATATAATCGCCCTCTGAAGAAGCAATTTCCTAGAAGAAAAGGGAAATGGGGAATATCTGTGTGTGTGTGTGTGTGTGTGTGTGTGTGTGTATAAATGAAATTTCCTTTAAATAACATGTGATGAACTCATTGCATTGGAATGACGAGACTTCAGTATATGTGTACTTTAAACAAAATTAAAGAAGCCTCAGTCACAGAATCTGAGGATTAAGAGGGAATTTAGAGGGCATCTGGTCATGTCCTCTTTAAAGTATCTTCTTGCATCAGAAAAAGACTCCATTCTAATTGAAGTGACAGAGAAGAAAAATATGCCAGCATTCATTCAACTAATGCCCAACATGATCCTGTAACTAGCCCAACTTAAGACTCACTAACTGTTGTATTAAAGTGTTTGTTGTGTGGCTCAGTGGATAAGCATCACTTTGATTTCCAGTCAGGGCACATGCTCAGGTTGCAGGCTCCATCCTCCTGCAGTAGAAGACATGCAGGGGGCAGCTGATCAATGATTCTTTCTCATCGTTGATGTTTCTCTCTCCCTCTCTAAAATCAATAAAAAAAATTTTTTTAATTTTTCTTAATTAAATTATTATCTTTGTACATATACCATTGCATCCCCCTCCCAAACATGCCCTCCTTCCCCAGAGTTTTGTGTCCATTGGTTGTACTTATATGCATGTATATAAGTCCTTTGGTTGATCTCTTATCTCCCCCAGATCTCCCTAACCTCCCTGCTATAATTTGACAGTCTGCTTGTTGCTTTACTGTTTCTATATCTATCTTTTGGTTCTTCAGTTTATAATGTTCTTCATCATCCATAAGTAAGTGAGGTCATGTGGTGTTTCTCTTTCATTGACTGGCTTATTTCACTCAGCATGATGTTCTCCAGTTTCATCCAGGTTGCTGCAAATGATGAGAATTCCTTCTTTTTTATGGCAGCATAATATTCCATTGTGTAGATGTACCATAATTTTTTTTTTTTAATTTTGTTGCCTTTTTTACCTATACTTACTAGAGGCCTAGAGCAGGAAAATTTGTGCACTTGGCGGGGGGGTGGGGGGGAAGGGGGGGGTGCCTTAGCCCAGCTTACAACCTGTCGCAGACCAGGAGTCCTTGGGGGATGTCCAACTGCTTGAGAGAATAGGCTTAAGCCACAATCTGGCCTCTCTCTAGAAGGCGATTCATGGGTCTATCGGGAGATGGCACTAGCTAGCGACAGTCCGGCCCCACCCCCCATCACCCTGCTGCCACTGCCACCCCCCATTGCCATTGCCTTCCTCTGCCTGC